GGCAGAGAATGTTAATATTAGAGATGAGCCTGGCTTTTGTACCAAGGGACTCTTTTGACCAATTCCTGACCCTCAGAAGTATTTATTACCCTTAAGAAACTGATCTGCCTGCGACCACGTGGTTCCCCCAGATGCAACTGTTGCAGGCTCCCTTCGCACTGCTTGTAACTTCCCAGTGTGCTTCCTTTTCTCTTTAGGTTTTTTGCTTTCTCTCCCATAGCAGGAATGACACCTCTTTCCCAATCATCCCTGCATATCATTGATGTTTATGATACAATTGCTACATTATACAGATTTCTGCATGGTCAACAAGACTGTTGTTAATTCAAGGGTGCACAACTTTGATCAAACCTACCTTTTGAAATAGTCAGGATGCTTCTGTTTCTTGCATTTTTCTCTCATTTTGCCATTTACCCTGCATACGTCTTAGTGTGTTTTTTCATTGGTGATGGTAATGCCTGCTGGAAACTCTCTTTCAGCCCATTATTGTATCAGCAAGAATGTCTCTCCCCAAAGTTCCCTTTCATTGTCACAGATTTCAACTTGTAGAAAAAAAATCAGTCAGAATGGAAAAAAAGGGTCTCGGTACGTCCCTCCTTAAAATAACACAGAATGATGGGAGTGATTAAAATACTGTGAGAAAATAAAGGTAGGTAAACACCTATCAAAGCAAGCCACACCAAGAGAACAACAGAGCTCTTTAAAAAAGTAGGATGCTTCCATTTAAGAAAACAAACAGAACTGAATAAATTAGCTAGGTAGTGCTTATGCCAAGTACCATAATTTCTAACTATAGCCTTATTCTTTCCCCTTTCATCCTTTCTTTAGGGACAAGAGCTGGTTTGTTTTATGATTTTTCTAATGCACATAATATGTTGTGGGTACTACTGAAGTCTAAATTATATAGATGTAATTACAAAAATGATTCTTGCAGATAGGAAAAATTTGCGCACTACGTTTTCCAGACTATTTCAGTATTATTTTTAATGAAAATCATATTTGATGTTTGTCTCCAGGAAAAAGATAATTGAAGTATCATGCTTGGGGGAGGCTTGTGTTTTCAGCTGAAGTAGCAAGGCTGGAGATTTAATAATAAGAAATGTTATAAATCAGGGCCTCTCATTGTAGGTACCTTGATTCCAAAAGCTTTGCTCTGGAGACTGTCTGCTGAGATTAGGTTATTAGGATGAGGCATGGAGAAAACCAGTTGCAAAAATGGATGATAAATCATCCAGGAAGTATTGTTTTGAGGTAGATTTAGAATTGGATATGAAGCCAGTGCAGAACATGAAGCAACAATGATCCTATTTGTCTCTTGCCTAAGTGGATAGTGTGTGTTTTAAACTACCAGAAATTCCCATATGGACTTTGGCGTTTGTTCCATATTCAAGATACCTTGCTAAAATAGCATGAGGATTTAGTAAGAAATAGCTTATTTGGAAAAACACAAGAATCACTGTACTTCCACAGAAGAACGGTCCATCTAGCAGGTATTCCATCTGCAGCCAGTCTGTCGCTACATCAGTGCCTGGTGGCATGTGTCTAGGAGAGAGCATTGAGACTCATTGGTGGTGTCTGCAGCAAATGTTTTGTGAAAACTTTCAAATCTTCAGTATTTTGTGGCTGAAGAAGTTCATGAGACAGAGGTGATGTCTTTTCATGAATGAGCCATCAACTATTTTTTCATCTTTAACTTCTGAAGTGGCTTTCTGAACCCGTGCAAGGTTTGAGCACCAATTGTGTATATCTGTAGCTGTATCTTAGGGGAAAGGTGTCTGAACACACACACAGCAGGTACTCATTTTGTCTCCTGCTGTCTAGATATACCTTCTAGTTAGTATGACTGACTAGAACTCCAGTTACAGTCCTGTTGTGGTTGTTCATGCCTTTTTTCTGCCACATCTGTGCCTTATGCAATCACCGTAATGAATATATAGACTGCCCACGACAGTTTCTTAGAAAGAAACAAACTTCCGTAAATGTCTGAATGCTGATATCACACACAAGTTTTTACAGGACGTATATTAGATAGATTCCATGTCTCAGGGAATTTACAATGAAACTAGCACAACATGAATGTCTTCAGCTCAACTACAGAAAGTAAAGAAAAAATAAGTATAGTAAAGATTTTACTTAAACCTATGAAATGCACACTTTTCTCTCTCTATTCTTCAAAAAGACAGTCTATTTCCATAATTTCCTTGCTACTTCATTGCTGAGGTTCAGGACTAAAAAAAAATCTCATGTGCCAGTATTAAACTGATGTGAACAGTAAGTAGCTTGTGGGACAAAGAAGATGTTTAACATACTTCAGATTTGATCCTACTGTATGTCCAAACTGTGCTCTAACACAGTGTAGATAAGATAGCTTTTATTCTAAGGCCACCAAAGGTTAAAAGCTATTGAAAGCTCTGTCCCGTGAGTATCCCTGACAGGAATTCCTGTTTACACTAAAAGCAGAAGGAATTGTTGAAACCTTTTTTTTTTTTTTTTTTGGTAACTATAGTAACTACTTAAATTCTCAGATCTCTTTGTTCAACATTGTTGTGTGAGAAATATTGGTAGGTAGGTATTTCGTTGCCTGCATTTCATGTTGAAGACAATGAAGCTATTTATTTATTTATTTTTAACACAAGAATGCTGGACATGCAAGCAGCCCCACTGGAGGCTGGTTGGGCCACAGAGCAATTTGCACTTTTCAAATCATGCCATTTTTT